GTGTATTCTCCAAATGCTTGAAGAAGACGTTAGCTTTAAATTAATCAATGCAGCATTCATGGTAAGAAAATTTGTATATCACAAAAGATATTTTTGATATGTTACTACATTGAATTAAGGAAAGTCAATTAATCTATCCTCAAATTTACCAAACTAACTAACCAGAAAGTAACTAGGATGCAAAGCAGCTTACAGAATTTGTGGAAAATTTATCATCCAGTCAATAAATATTGGCTACTGGCACCTACTCTTCGGTCTTAAATTTATCACCATTTCCCTATTGTACTCGATTGCAACCACCACTTGAATTAAGAATCACCGTTCTTTACTCACGCCAAGTAGTATGGTTAATGGACATGATATAACATTTAGTGCACGTTTGTGTATTCTCCAAATGCTTGAAGAAGACGTTAGCTTTAAATTAATCAATGCAGCATTCATGGTAAGAAAATTTGTATATCACAAAAGATATTTTTGATATGTTACTACATTGAATTAAGGAAAGTCAATTAATCTATCCTCAAATTTACCAAACTAACTAACCAGAAAGTAACTAGGATGCAAAGCAGCCTACAGAATTTGTGGAAAATTTATCATCCAGTCAAAAAAAATAGGCTACTGGCACCTACGCTTCGTTCTTAAATTTATCACCATTTCCCTATTGTACTCGATTGCAACCACCACTTGAATTAAGAATCACCGTTCTTTACTCACGCCAAGTAGTATGGTTAATGGACATGATATAACATTTAGTGCACGTTTGTGTATTCTCCAAATGCTTGAAGAAGACGTTAGCTTTAAATTAATCAATGCAGCATTCATGGTAAGAAAATTTGTATATCACAAAAGATATTTTTGATATGTTACTACATTGAATTAAGGAAAGTCAATTAATCTATCCTCAAATTTACCAAACTAACTAACCAGAAAGTAACTAGGATGCAAAGCAGCTTACAGAATTTGTGGAAAATTTATCATCCAGTCAATAAATATTGGCTACTGGCACCTACTCTTCGGTCTTAAATTTATCACCATATCCCTATTGTACTCTATAGCAACCACCACTTGAATTAAGAATCACCGTTCTTTACTCACGCCAAGTAGTATGGTTAAAGGACATGAAATAACATTTAGTGCACGTTTGTGTATTCTCCAAATGCTTGAAGAAGACGTTAGCTTTAAATTAATCAATGCAGCATTCATGGTAAGAAAATTTGTATATCACAAAAGATATTTTTGATATGTTACTACATTGAATTAAGGAAAGTCAATTAATCTATCCTCAAATTTACCAAACTAACTAACCAGAAAGTAACTAGGATGCAAAGCAGCTTACAGAATTTGTGGAAAATTTATCATCCAGTCAATAAATATTGGCTACTGGCACCTACTCTTCGGTCTTAAATTTATCACCATTTCCCTATTGTACTCGATTGCAACCACCACTTGAATTAAGAATCACCGTTCTTTACTCACGCCAAGTAGTATGGTTAATGGACATGATATAACATTTAGTGCACGTTTGTGTATTCTCCAAATGCTTGAAGAAGACGTTAGCTTTAAATTAATCAATGCAGCATTCATGGTAAGAAAATTTGTATATCACAAAAGATATTTTTGATATGTTACTACATTGAATTAAGGAAAGTCAATTAATCTATCCTCAAATTTACCAAACTAACTAACCAGAAAGTAACTAGGATGAAAAGCAGCTTACAGAATTTGTGGAAAATTTATCATCCAGTCAATAAATATTGGCTACTGGCATTAAAATAATTCGTTCACCTAAGCATTAAAATATATATAATTTCCCACACATTAATTTTTTTTCTCTAAAATCATTAATTTATTAATCTTACAATAATTAGTTACAACCATTTCTTATAAATTAATATGTTTCATAAAAAGAAAAAAAAATACAAATAACTGAATAATATATATATTTTTAAGATCATTAAGTTTTTAATCTTACAATAGTCAGTTACATCCATTTCCCATAAAAAAAAAAAAAATTTATTTCACAAAAAAAAAAAAAAAAAAAAATTACAAAAGAAAAAAAAAAAAAGAAAAACTGAAAGATTGCATAATATATTCACCTTAGCACTAAAATTTATGTTTTACATTGACGTCATTCGTACATATTCATATATTTTACAAGGCTAACTCTTTAAATATTTATGTTTTGTAAAATTTATGATAGTTTATAATAACATTAAATCATGCATTTTCTTTTATTTTTTTTAACGTCCATTAGTTATTATTCTAAAAATAGTCAAATCCTACTAAAAACACACATTAATTCATAAAAAGAATTTAAATTACAAATAAATAGAAAGTTTGCACTAACCCGTTCACCTAGACATTAAAATTTATATACACTAAAATTGTTCGGTGACACTCTAAAAGATACTGGTTCCATCCAACGGTCTTTGCAATGGAACAAGAATGATTTGTCGTGATTTCAAAAGACAATATTCACGCAAAAATAATTGCTGGACAACATACTGAAAAATAAGTTTTCTTTTCGTTCATTCCATTAACTCTAGGAAATGATGAAGGATATCCATTCAAATTCAAGAGAAAATAATTTTCAAGACGTCTATGCTTTGTAATGACAATGAACAAGACCCAATGATAAATAGTGCCTAATGTTGAAATATTCCTTCCTGAACATGTCTTCTCTCATGTGCAAAAAATGTACAAAGAAGTTGTGGCAGGTTGACAAAAAAATGTACAAAGAAGTGTTATTGTAATTAAATTATTACATTTCAGTTTATTCAACATTTTCAAATTATATACATAATTTCATAAAAAACAATTATTCATATATATTTCTTTTAACAGTTTTAATTTTTTTTCTTTGATAATATCAATTGCTTTTAAAATCTGCCTTAATATTTCAAAACTATTACTCATATCATTCATTTGATACATAAAACGTGCATGCACGTACTCACTAGTTAACTTTTCTTATGAAATGTGTAGATAATAAATGAACTCCATCTAGTTGACTTTTCCTTATAAGTACCTATAACGAAAAACAAACAATTAATTTTAGAAATTACAAGTGATAGAAAATGACAGGAAATTTTGATCGTATTCACAGGTGGTCCAACCGTAATCTAATTGTGGACTAACAAAAGTGAAGAATTGAAAATGAGAAAATTTGTTTTAATGTGTTTTTAAAACGAATAGTGATGATCGTGGCCAGATTGTAGCTATAAAAATTTTGGGTACATAATGGTGTCCACACTCTCACATAGGGTGAGACCCACTCCGAAGTGGGCCCCACCCCATGTGAGGGTGTAGACACCCTTATGTATATGTAGACAAACCCATAAACTGAAGAACTCAACTAAAGCACTTGAGTTGTTGCACAAAATCGAGGAATTATGGAGCCCTACGATAACTACAAAAAATTGATGATTTTTAGTCTATGCTCGATTTTCGCGTCTTTTTTATTCGTAACAATTTAATAAGTCAAAGGACGGGTGTGATTGCAAAAGGCCGAATTGTACATGTGAAAGTAAGTTGATAGAGCTTTTCGAAGACGTAGGATTCATCACGTTACGACAACTTCGCAAAATCGATGATTTTTGGGCAATGCTCGATTTTTGTGCTATTTAATTTGTAAGTCTTATAACTTAAGGAACGGGTGTGATTTCAAAAAGCCATTTTCAACAAGTGAAACTAGGTTGATAGAGCTTTCCGATTCGGTATGATTCATCACATTACAACAACTTCAAAAATTGATGATATTTAAGCTACGCTTACTTTCACACCGTTTATTTGTAATAGCTTCATAACTTAAATAACGAGTGTGGTTTTAAAAGAACTGCTTTTAACATGCGAAAGTAGGATGATTGAGATTTCCAACTGTGTATGATTCATCATATTATGACTATTTCAAAAAAATCGATGATTTTTAGACTACGCCCATTTTTTTCGCTATTTTATTCGTAATAGCACCATAACTCAAAAGAACGGGTGTGATTTCAATATACTATTTTAATATATAACAATAGATTGTTAGAGCTTTCCGATGGTGTATGATTCATCACGTTACAATAATTTCAAAAAATTAATGGTTTTTAGGCTATGTTCAATTTTCGCGCCATTTTATTTGTAGCAGCTTCATAACTCAAAGAACGGGTGTGATTTCAAAAAAAATCGTATTTTACACGTGAAAGTGGTTTGATAGAGCTTTCCGACGATGTATGATTTATCACGTTATAATAGCTTCCAAAAATCGATGGTTTTTAGTCTATGCTCGATTTTTCAGGATTTTATTTGTAAAAGTTCATGACTCAAAGAACGGGGTGTGATTTCAAAAGACCTTATTTTGCATGCCAAAGTAAGTTGATAGAGCTTTCCGATGGTGTATGATTCATCACGTTACAGCAAATTCGAAAAATCGACAGATTTTAGGCTAGGCTCAATCTTCACGCCGTTTTATTTGTTGACAACTTCATAACTTAAAAGAACGAGTGTGATTTTAAAATACCATATTTTACATGTGAAAGTAGGTTGGACGTGGCTATTGTATGATTTAATCAAGGTCTTGTTTGAGATAGTTTAAACAGTTGAGGTCAAAATCAATAATTAATTTTAACTACACATCTAGTCCTTGTTTGGTAGAGATTAAAATTAGATTCTTAGTAAATTTTGATAAAAGTTGATGAAATATGTGGTTGAAAAGTTGTGAATCCTATGAGATATGTGGTTAAAATTAATTGTTGATTTTGATTTGAGATTTTAATTGGATTTTAAGTCATACCAAACAGGGGCCTAATGAGAACCACAATTTTTATCAATTTTTCAAACACGCATTCCATCAACTTTGATCAAAATCTAACGTGCAAATGTCAATTACCCCTGCACCTCTCGAAGAAGCATTTTCACAGTATAAATTGATACTCGATGCCCTCAAACTATCCACGCTAAGCAGCAATATTTTTTTCTTTCTTTCTTTACAATCCGTTGAAAACTTTTGCTTTGCCATGGCATTTTCTTCCACCATGGTTTTTTCAGTGAAAAGGCGTGAGCCTGAGCTAGTGATACCGGCAAAGGCTACACCACGTGAAATAAAGAAACTATCTGATATAGATGACCAAGAAGGTCTCCGGTTTCAAATGCCGATCATGCTTTTCTATAGGGATAACCCTTCAATGAGAGGGGGAGATCGGGTTGGAATCATTCGAGAAGGACTTGCTAAAACACTAGTTTATTACTATCCCTTTGCTGGTAGGATTATAGAAGGAGACAATAGAAAACTTATGGTCGATTGCAACGAGGAAGGTGTATTGTTCGTAGAGGCAGATGCAAATATCAATATTGAGCAGCTTGGGGACAACATATTGCCGCCATGTCCGTTCATGGAGGAGTTTCTGCATGATGTACCTGGTTCTGAAGGAATCATCGGCTGCCCACTTTTGTTGATTCAAGTAAGAACGTGTCGAGGCCGAATTCCTTTTTTCACTAAAAGATTGAAAAGTGTACAATTTTCGTAAATTAGTAGGTTGATATTAATTTAAATGACTAATTGAATTTGCAGGTAACCCGATTCATCTGTGGTGGATTTGCCTTGGGAATCAGATTCAACCATACTATGGCAGATGCCTACGGGATGATCCAACTTCTAACTGCCATTACGGAATTTGTAAAAGGTGCCGCTGCGCCTTCTATTTTACCCGTATGGCAAAGAGAGCAATATTTTACTGCTAGATCACCGCCAAGAATAACATGCACACACAATGAATATGAACAAACACCGTATGACGTATCATATGCAGACATTATGGATTCAGACAAGTTGATTCGAACAGCTATTTTCTTTAGCCCTAAGGACATACAAGCACTTCGCAATCACATGTCCTTGTCCGGAAATTTTATTCGGTGTTCAAGATTCGATCTAATTGTTGCGTACTTATGGAAATGCCGCACAATAGCTCTTAGTCCAGCAGATCCCGAAGAAGTTGTCCGTCTTTCAGCCATTACAACTGCACGTGGCAAGCCTGGACTGAATATACCGACCAGATATTACGGCAATGCTTTCACTTTTCCGGCGGCAGTATCCACCGCGGGAATTCTGTGCACAAGTCCTTTATCATATGCAGTTCATTTGATTCAAAAAGCAAAGGCACAACTGAGTGAAGAGTATATTAAATCAGTTGCAGATTTTATGGTTATCAAGAAACGACCCAAATATACAACAATTTGGAATTTGATTGTTTCAGACGTAACTCGTATGGGTTTTGATAAGGTTGATTTTGGGTGGGGCAATCCGAAGTTCGGTGGAATTCCTTTTGCCACTTCAAATATTAGTGTCTGCATGAATATCAAGAACTGGAAGGGAGAAGATGGAGTTGTGGTATCCATATGCTTGCCACCATTGGCTGTCCAAAAATTTAAATATGAGCTTAAGAAAATTGCTTTTTATTCAATTATATGCAGAATGTAAGATAATATGTTTGGTTGTAAATTTGTAATCTGAATCAAATTTACTTTTCCTAAGCATGGAGACCCTTCTAAATTAAGTCTATGTACGTGCAATATTTATTGGTGTAATATATTTTATATAAGTTTGCAATAATAGAATCTTAATTAAGTTAACATAAACGATCATCTTGTGATAAAAACATGTTTGTGAGGAGAACGAGTACACTTAAGGATATTTCTTTCCTTCTAAAGAATGAATTTAGTTCTAAAATTTGTATAATATTTTGATTAATTTCAATGTTTTCACTCTAAATCAATATAAGTATGATCCCTCAAAAATAGGTTTGACTTCATGCAAACACTTGGTAACTAATTTCCACCGGTATGTTTTGTAATGTTTTTATTAGATTATTAGTTAAGTATCCAACGAAATGTGTGAATAATAAGTGGGTAAAAGTCAGTAAAAGTCATGAATCCTATGAAATTCACAGATAGAAATAAAGATTAATCAGTTTATAAATAATTATAACTTGATTAATTCTACTTGTACCGAAGTAGTTGATCGAAGTGGTTGACAACCACTCACAGTGGTGGATCCACCGTGATTAAAAAAGGAAAAAAATTATCCACCCACCCACCCTATGTGTGAGAGATTGTCAACAAACCCACCTCCCCCTCCTAGTAGCATCTCTCTTATAACTTTTCCAAACATGCAGCGTTAATCCAAGTCATGTACAGATTTTGTCCTTCTGTCTTTTGAAAGGTCCGTATTCATCCCAAAGGACCGCAGGAACCAGTAGTTTCATTAAAAACAAGAAGAGAAAGGAAATTAAGGAAATAAAGACAAAAGGAAAAAGGCCAAACCTATTTCATCTTACCAAAAGTGGTAGTGAGTTGGACTGATTGGGATGGAAAACTTAATGAAACTCAAAGTAGGTTGAGGACTAAGTTTCTACAAATGCTATAGATTGAGGTTCAATACTGCATTTTTTCCAAGTGGGTGTATATATCATTCAATTCGTGGCGCAATCAATAAGAAATGATAGAAGATAAGTAAGAAAACCTTATTGAGGCAACTCTTAAAATGAGCGGTAGAGAAAAGTTTTATTTAAATAAGTTGACGAAAATTAAGATAATGCTAATAACCATGAAATTCAACATGTTGATTGTTTTAGCAGTGTCAAATCATATAATGTGCACTAGCTACGACCACCCAGTCCTATCCATTTTTGAGATATTTATTGGGACTAACAAAGTCAAAAGCAACCCATGTTTTCTTGCACTCTGCTAAAAACACAAGCACCATTTTTAGACACGAAGACCTAAAAACATTTACTTTGCCATGGCATTGTCTTCCACCTTTATTTTCAGAGTGAAACGGTGTGAACCTGAACTGGTGGTGCCGGCAAAACCTACGCCGCGTGAAATAAAGAAACTCTCCAACATAGATGATCAAGAAGGTTTTAGGTTTAATTTTCCCGGGATGTTTTTCTACAAAAATAGTGCGTTGATGATAGGGAAAGATCCAGTTGGAGTCATTCGAGAAGGAGTTGCTAAAGCACTGGTCTATTACTACCCTTTAGCTGGTAGGATTGTGGAAGGAGCAGAGAGAAGACTTGTGGTTGATTGCAGTGGGGAAGGGGTGTTGTTTGTAGAGGCTGATGCATACATCATGATCGAGCAGCTTGGTGACAGCATATTGCCACCATGTCCGTTGAAAGAAGAACTTCTTCACAATGTACCTGGTTCTGAAGGTATCATTGGCTGCCCTCTTTTGCTGATTCAAGTAAGCACTTGCGTATTTATTTTTACAATCAAAGTTTAATAAAGATAAAATGGATGACTAAACTTGAACTTGGACTCAAAATGCAATTACAGTAAAAAATCTAGAAAAATTATCATATTCATTTTGTATCATTTTGATGCCATGGTCCAGTGGTAAGGCGGAGGTGCAAATCCATTGTCCTTTGATATCGTGTCATTCCATTAAAATAAGATAAATTTTTGTCAGGCTGAAAGCCTGAAAATAAAAAGAAGGGAAATTAGCACTTTTCATCTTCAATGTTTAAGAACTGTAACAAATTTATCAACTTCTTTTTAACATTATTCATCCACAACATTTCAAATATGTAGCAGAATTAATCGTTCCATCCATTTTGATGACGAATTTGTCATTCACTTTAAATAAACATATACAACATAAAGAATAAAAAATAAAAAATGAACACCCAAATGCTAAATTGGGGTGGATTTGGAGGTGGTGGTTTCTGTAGCAAGTGGGGACATGGGTGGGTGAGTGAGCTTGGTTGGGGTTGGGGAGATGACTTTTTTTTTAAAAATAAATAAATTATGTGTTAGTATGTATTTAATAGTTTTAATTAAGATTATATTTGCATTTTTTTTCTTGAATGTGGTCTGCTACAACATATAATCCTTCTGTAAATAACTTGCAAGCACTAAATGAATATTTCAATTAATGCAAAATGCAGGTAACCCGATTCATCTGTGGTGGATTTGCCTTGGGAATCAGGATCAACCACACTATCGCAGATGGCTATGGGATAATGCAATTTCTAAATGCTATTACTGAATTTGTGAAAGGTGCTTCTGCACCTTCTATTCCACCCATATGGCAAAGAGAACAATATTTTACTGCAAGATCACCCCCAAGAATTACGTGCGCACACAATGAGTATGAACAAATACTATACAACAAATCATCGACAAACGTTGTTGATTCAGAAAACTTGCTTCGAACAGCGATTTTCTTTGGTCCTAAGGAGATACAGGTCCTTCGTAATCATCTGTTGGAAAAATTTAAACGGTATTCAAGATTCGATCTCATCACGGCATGCTTGTGGAAATGCCGCACAATTGCACTTAACCCACCCAATCCAGACGAGATAGTTCGTCTTTCAGTCATGATGACTGCACGTGGCATATCAGGCCTAAGTTTACCAACCGGATACTACGGAAATGCATTCACTTTTCCGGCGGCTGTATCCACCTCCAGAATTCTATGCACAAGTCCATTATCATATGCAGTACATCTGATTCAAAATGCAAAGGCTCAAATGAGCGAGGAGTACGTTAAATCAGTTTCAGATCTTATGGTGATTAAGAAACGACCCAAATATATAGCAAGCTGGAATTTGATCGTCCCGGACTTCACCCATCAAGGTTTTGATAAGGTTGATTTTGGGTGGGGTAATCCGATTTACGGTGGAATTCCTTTCGCCACTTCAGATTTTGGTGTTTACACGAATTTCAAGAGCAGTAAGGGAGAATATGGAGTTGTAATATCCTTATTCTTGCCACCTTTGGCTGTGGAAAAATTCAAATACGAGGTTAAGAAGATGACTAGTGAGTCAGTAATTCAAAAAAAATTATCTTCTTGTTAAATTTGTATACAGGTTTCACAAACATGACTGCAGCATACACATGACTACAGCATATCAGCTAGGTTCACCATTGGACGTGCTGAGTGCTGCTTTTGCCTTGTCATCA